GCTGTAAGAGTTGTAGAAGGCGCAATACCTGAGACAACTGCATTACTAGAGCAAAAATGGGATAAGATATTTTATACAGGTCTGAAAAATTTCTTTACTGGTGTACTTTATCTGCATGTAATTTATAGAATAAAATATCTGAGAGAATTATTTGTAGATGGACAATTGCCCGAATCTGTAACCATCTCTGGTGGCAACATAATTTCTTTTTTAATCTTTTAGGCTTCGGAGACAACTGAACTGGTTTGTTAACAATGTGGTAATTTTCCTGCAGTGCAATTGACAGGTCGTGATATTTTTTGCTTCTACATCACTTATTGTCTATGTGTGACCTGTAGTTCACGAGTTTGAGCCGCGGAATCAGCCACTAGTGCTTGCATCAGGTAGGCTTTGGGTGCGACCCTTCCCCGGACTTTGCGTGAACGCAGGATGCTTTGTGCATTGGGCTGCCCTTTATTGTCTAAATAAGACAGAGTATATGCACCACAAGTTTAACCCGTTTAGGAGAATGACTGTGAAGTAACATCAGATGGATTAAGGTGCCTAAATACCATTAATTTAGATATCAAAATTTAGTTTATCAGGAGAATGACATGGTAGAGGAGCATGTATTACATAGAAAAAAAAAATAAGATGCAAAATGGAATGATCGATGTGAGCTTCATGCAATAGAAAGATACCTAACAAAGTCAAAGGCGAATTATATATAAAGGTTGTGACACCAGCAATGTTATATGAGAGTCAATATTAGGTCTCTAAGGTAAAAAATATTCACAAAAAGAGTGTCCTGTCTTACCAATATTAGAAATGACCACATCAGACAAAGGGTGCGAGCAACAGACATAGAGGGTGGTGTCCTGGCTTAGGAATGTCTTATGTTGACTTCAAAATACTTTGGTTCTTAGATACAACATTATAATTGTTGAAGGTGCTTAAAGGAGACAAGATACCTACAGAGAAGTTGACGCCATACCTAGAATCTTTCTGAATTAGTGCAGATTGATCTAAGAACAGAACAGTGTAAGCATACAATCCTTAAAAGCAATAACTACTTGCTTGGATTATGATTTAGTTGCTATTGTTACACTTACATTAGGTTGTCTTGACAACTTGTATATCAGCGTGGGGACTAATAAGTATGAGATTTAGAGAACCTCGAGTTTAAAAGAAACCTAATACGTCGTAAAAGACAAATTATTTTATAGTATTGCCAAGAAATGTACCCGAATTGTGCGATAATGGATTTAAAGGATTCATATATTCGACCTCGACTATTTTGAAATTGAGGCTTAGTTAATTCATCAAGTGATACTTCACTTATTGTCTAATCATAGCAGACTTATGTAGGGAAGGAAGCGTACACTAGATAAAAAATGATCGTTAGAAACTTTGACTGCTGTATTTTTGACATCTTATTGAATGTGTCTTATTGAATATGTATTGGTTATACCATTCAATCCATGATATTTTCTTAAATACTTTTATTCCTAAGCTTCACCAGGGGAGGAGCTCTATTTACCAAGAAGGGCTGGGGATCCATTAGCTACATGATCAGTGATTTATTTTAAATTTATCTTATCTATAAGAGCTTAAACTTTTGTATGATCCATCTACACATCCCCCTCTCCATGGCAGGGGAAAAGAGACAACAAAGTGAAAATGTGTTATTGTTAGATGTCAATAGAAGTCAGTAGGATATCTTCTTCTCCATCTAATTTTACTTGAAACTTGATAAAAAAGAAGAGCAATGAGATTGAGATGGACTGAAGTTTGTCAGCCGGCCCACCCTTATATGTGCATGTGGGCTTCTGTTCAATAATAAGTTTAGTTGACTAAAATAGTAGTGGCAGTTAGTTTGGATTGCAAGGTTGACAAGCATTAGTAGATATTATGATTGATACTAACTTTGCCAAGTTTTGTTTGCAAGACTTATTTGGAGATGATCTGTTCACTATGATAATAATTAATGAGTTATATGCTCATGTTATTATTTGCAATCAAACAAATAATACTGTAGGAAATGGAAAAGTTGGACGGATTGTGATGACGGCTGCAGCAAAGCACTTGACACCTGTGGTTTTGGAGCTAGGTGGAAAATCTCCAGCTGTTGTGGATTCAAACATCAATTTGAAGGTAATATTTCTTATTTGCTCTTTAGTCTGAGTTTGTCAGAACATACACTGCCAAAAATCATAATAAGAAGCTTCTCAATTTTTTCTTTTATATATCAAATTGTTTTTGATTTAAGGTTGCAGTAAGGCGTATTATTGCTGGTAAGTGGGGCTGCAACAATGGACAAGCGTGTATCTCTCCTGATTATATAATTACTACCAAAGAGAATGTGCCAAAATTGGTACGTTTTATGAGATCAAGGAGCTTTTATGTGTGACATTATGAAAAATCTTTTACTCATTGTTTTTTATTTTTGTTCCTCTGATTCCTCTTCGCCAGCTAGACGCCATGAAATTTGAATTGGAGAAATTTTATGGGAAGGATCCACTAAAATCAGGAGATCTGTCTCGCATTGTGAATGCTAACCACTTTCATCGACTCTCAAAGTTATTGGATGAAAATAAGGTTGTCGATAAGGTAGTTCATGGAGGCCAGAGAGATGAAAATAACTTGTAAGTCGACCACAATCTTTCTCCAGTAACCTATTGTCACAAAGATATCTGTTTATGAGATGAGTAATCTTTGTTGTTCATCTTCTTTTCCTCATATCAGAAAGATCGCTCCAACAATTCTTCTGGATGTCCCAGAAGATGCTCTAATCATGAAGGAGGAAATATTTGGCCCTCTACTTCCTATTCTCACGGTAAGAACTGCACTTCCCGTAGGAGGTGACTAGTCTTTTGCATATTCCATTTTGGTAACAAAACAATCGCTGGATAACTATGGTCACGCAGTTATGACCTTCTCATGAATTAGACTTCATCTCCAAGATGGTCACTTTCCTGACCAGCTTATGAAATTTCGCGTATTTTCTATATTGAAATTCATCAGCGATAAAACTGCTTCGACAACTACAAAAATATATTGCTTGACCCAGCCCAAATGAGGATAATCTCTTTTGGCAGCTCAAGCGGTAATTCTTATGCCATATACTGTGGATTACAGCAGAAAATTTTTAACCAATAGGTCACCTGTGAAAGCTTAACAGACAATTTTTTAGCTGCATTGTTAAGTCTCCAACTTCCACCTTTTGAGAATGAACAAAGCTCAGGTAGGAGGTTTGCTGAAAATTCTGTCTCTAGTCTGCTGATAGTACTGTTGTGAAGTTCTTGGCTTGAATAGGTCTTGATTTTCTTTTGTGAAGGTCAATAAAGTGGAGGACTCTATACACTTCATTAATGCCAGAGAAAAGCCCCTCGCAGCATATTTGTTCACAAGCAACAAGAAACTGGAGGAGGAATTCGTCAGGAATATATCAGCAGGGGGTCTGCTGATCAATGACACCACTTTACATGTAATTCTATCTTTTCCTATTAGCCAAATTTTCTAAATTGACTTGTGCTAACATGCCTTAAGCAAATGTGAAATTGTCGATAGTTTGTTTCGATAGTTAGTTTCAAAGTGATAATTCAAAAAATAATTACAAGTGGAGATTAAACTAAGATTGTTGGAAGTTGAAAATGAAATAGGAATACAATTTCTGAGGCATTAAGCTTAAAGCAATACCTAGAGGGAGAGAGAGAAACTATCTTCAGAAGAGATTCTTCGAATCTAGGAAAAGTAAAAAAGGTAAAAGTAATTTGTGTGTCAAAATTACTGTGTAGGTGCTTCTTAATTATTTTTGGACTTCAAATGTTTTTGAGACCAAAGCTAGAGTATTTGATACATTTCTTAATTATGAATGCTGAGGAGTATCTAAACTGTAAGAGAAATTTTGCATTTTTAATCGTGTGTGCTGCTGCTGGATTTCATTGTTTTGTCTAATCATATGATGCCATAGACCCTTGTCAAATCTATTGATGAACTGTATATTTGAATCATGCAGCTTGCTATTTCCTCTCTTCCATTCGGAGGAGTTGGGGAAAGTGGAATGGGTTCATACCACGGTAGATTCTCGTTTGAAGCTTTCAGCCACAAGAAGGCTGTTCTGCGTCGCAGTTTTGGTGGGGATGTACCTGCAAGATACCCGCCTTATACACCTGAGAAGGTGAGATTTCTCAAAGCCCTGTTAAATGGAAATATACTCGGCCTGATTCGTGCATTACTTGGGTGGTAAAAGTTCGCTCAACTTCAGATAACCCCATGAAGTTTCAAGCTAGGATTTCTGGTCCGAGCTTGCTACTATACTTGTAAGCTTTCCATTCGTTGGGGATTATCCTGGAAGTAGTCCACTCAGAATTTTACATCTCAAATTCCATTATTCTAGTGTATTTTGTTGTAATTTTTCTGCCGTTATGTTTCTTCATACTAGACAGTGCCTATAATGTGACATTGCCAGTATGATCAAGTTTTGATTCTTATTCATCAAACATATTGAGGTTAATCATCTACTGATTTTCGAGGACAGGGCTAATGCTGGGTGCCTATTTTACTTGGGGATGGCGGTAGGGCCGTAGGTGGATATTATACCAACGTGCATATGCTATTTCTTGCATAAAATGCCTAGTTTTGTTTTATTAATTGATTATCGAAAAATTATCTTGTAATCGTAAGTCCCCTTTTCCACCGTTTTAGATTCTTGACAAAAATAATTAGAAAAGGGTACTACTTTGACAGCACTGGTTGGCAGATGATGTTGACTGTAAACTTATCACTCTATGAGTGATAATGAGTTCTCTAAGAGCTAGATAGCCACGTAGTTGTGTTATAGCTTGTTTGGCCAAGCTTCTTAAAGTACTTTGATGAGAAGTAAATGTATTTGGTTAATTAATTTGAAAAATACTTTTGAGCAGCAAGTAGTGTTTTGTCAAACTTTTAAAAAGCGTTTGTAACTGTATTTTTCTCAAAAGTGTTTTTTAAAAAGTGCTTTTGAAAAAAAGTATTTTTTCTACTTCTCAGAAACACTTTTTTTTCCTTGTAAAAGCTTGTCTTACTACCTTAATTTTGGGAGAAAAACACTTCAGGCAACCAAAAGAAATTACTTTTGGCCAAAAAGAAGCTTGGCCAAATAGACTATTAGAGTGGAACTTGAGCAGATCTTTCATCTGAACCCAATTTTTTCATTTATACTTTGCTAGAAATGATCGACTGCTTAAAAATAGGTGAAAAACTAGCTTTTTTTTGTTGAACTTTTTAAGTTCATTATACAAGGACCCAAACCTATAACATATGCTATAAATATAAATCTACTGGAAAGAAGTCTCAAACTCTGGAAAACTCGCAAAGGCATAAAGAGGCTCCATTCTTCTGTTAAGAAAAACCAATCATCATTTTAACAACCTGCATCACTCTAATATTCTGTTTTGCTACATCTAATTGCAAATCAATCCCACCAAAAAAAAAAAAAAAAAAGTTTAACAAGAAGATAAAATGACCAAAGTTCCATCAACAAGAATCTTCTAAAATCCTGACTACATCAGACCTTTGTTCCTCTGTAAGTTCAGTTGGAAAAGCTACTAAGAAAGTTATAATCAAGTTTCCTCTGTTCCCTTGCTCTTTGGGCTTAGCCATACCTTGTCCTGCTATAATCTTTTCATAACCAGGGTAGATAATATCATCAATGGTTAAGCTCATCTTTTCACCACACAACAATGGTATGGAAATAGTGCAACCTGTAAGAGCTTTTACCAATGGGATTTCTACTGCCAATTCCAGATTGTCGCCTTCTCTCCTGAATAGAGGGTGTCGTTTCTCTGCGATCACAAAGATCACATCTGCTGGAGAAGTGCCTGGCCTCTCATTACCTTTGCCTTCAAATGTAATCTTGGTTCCTTTTGTCCACCCTGGCTTCACTTTGATTGTTAGTACCTCCTCTTCCTCTGTTAGCCTGTATGAAAAGAACATGGGACATCCTCAGGCGAATAATTTAAGATAATTTTCACAATTATTAATCCCCATATTTGTTTTTCACTAACCAGGAGGAAGCTACATATTAGCTACCTCATGTTGGATAGTTGGTAAATAATACTACTAGCTAACACATATTGTCACACAACTTTAAACTTATTGGTGTAACAAATAGTCAATAGGCAGCCCGGTGCACTAAGCCCCGCTATGCACGGACCACAATGAGTCTTAGATACACAACCTTACCTTGCATTTTTGCAAGAGACTTTTCGTGTAACAAACAGTCAGTGAGCTATTTAATCAAGCTATAGGATTGTAAGCTTCCTCGAATAAGAAAGCTAAGTTTGAAAAATAGCAAATAAAATGCCAAAAGAGATTTAAACTCTTACCCAATATCTGTAACAGCATCTCTTGTGACCTTCATCTTCTTAACGCACCCAAAGCACAACTCTTCTAGGGTACACTCGAGTGTCTCTTCCATAGGTGGTGGTTTAACCAACCCAGTCGAGCTGGAAAACATTATAGGAGTTGAGCTCCTCCGGCTCGCATTACGTGAAAACGACGCTGGTAACGCCGTTGAGGCTGCAGCGGGTGCTTCGCTTCTGTTCTGAAGGCTTGCACTCCGCGAAAAGGATTTCGGAACTGCATGAGAACTGTCAACTCTGTCATGAGTACGGCTAGCATTACGCGAAAGCGTGCTTGCCAATGCCGGTCCACTGCCACCACCACCACTGCCACCACCGACATTACTTGAAGGAACAAAGTTATGATGTTTTCCGCTTGTGGTTCGAAAAATTCGAGAAATGGTCCTGGAGAGACGAGAAGGACTGGTGCTTCTTGAACCAGGAGGACTTGAAATGGGAGAACAAGTATAGTAATAATGCCCGTTGCTTCGGTGGTTATTGTTATGTACGGCTCCAGGGGGTACTTGATCATTGTGGTTATATCTTAAATCTTCAACGTCAATAATGGTTTCATCAACACTGCTTTTCTTTATACTAACCTGCAATTTGGTTATTCAAAGATCAATTATACGTCAAAATCTTCATGCATCCATGCATTTCTTGACATACTTTTCATGCGACAATTTTTTAGGTTTTTTCAATACAACAACAAGTACACCTACATTCTAATCAAGTTAGGTTCGGCTATATGAATATTTAAGTAACCAATATCATACAAAATAAAAACAAAAATAAATGCACTAAGAGTTTTGTATATTTTCTACTGGCATATTATCTCTAACAGGACTAAGAGGATTTTCCAAACATGTGCAAAAATTAAATTATTCTGTTTCTAATACTTAATGAATAGATCTATCATTTTCCGATTCTTATGAAAAAATAACTAGAAAAACTGAATGTGGTGAAACAGAAGGCGTGTATGTTTGAGACAGGATGCTATTTCAATTAAATCTTTTTAAAAGATTTTCCTTGCCATTTCCTTCTGAAATAGTAGAGAAACATTTTACATACTTTACAACCCTAACTAATTCAATATACGTACCTTGTGATCTTGGAGGATATTGGATTTGGGGTTTTGATCTTTATTATGGGATTGTTGAGTCTTATTCTTAGGAGATAAAATGCGGTCAGGGGAGAATCTGGAGACGAAGGATTTGCAAACTTTACATACACTTCCAAAGCCAAAACTGCTGCAAAACTCATGAGATGTGGCCCGTGAATGATCTGCCATGGAACAAACCAACACACACACACACAAAATAATTCAGAAATTACGTACAGAGAGAGAGATAGAGAGAGACAAAAAGAGAGGTCGGGTCTAATCTTAGAACGGATGGTTAATTATTGCCCAAAATTATAAAGCGGTTTAATAGCTAAGATTAGTTGAAGAATAATTTTAACTTCTTAAGCTAATTAAAAGACTCAACTCTATTTATCATTTATATATGATTTGTAACTTTTACTTTTAATCCATTATAAAACTGCCAAATTATTATATACTCTGGCTCACATGATAGAATTTTGTGGGTGTTACGTTTATCCTTGAGCTCACCATTTTAATTAGTTTAGTAAACAATAATAAGCTAAAGTCCAATTGGTCAGTCAAGAGGAAGGTTTTTTTTTTAACTACTCCGCTATCAACGCAAATAACATAAGATATTCGTCATCTCTAGGCCTAAGATAGAAATAATTTTCTTCATCATAGTTTTCTCTGGAATCAAGTGTTATTTGTACATCACATCCTTTATAATTTATAATGTAAGAAAATATCTTTTTAGATCTTTTATGCGTAAAAGAAATATCTCTTACGTATAAACGTAAATCTTTCATGTGTAAAAAAAGATGTATTGTCATAAAACTAAAAACAAGTTTGTAAAGAGCTACAAAATCAATTGACCGCAAAATATAGTGATGCAGTAAATTTTTTAATATGATAGAATTATTGTGTGACTTTAATGTTATAGCAAATAAAGTTAGAAAACATACGTGAAATTAAGCCACGAAACTGATAAGTGTCTAACCACAGTACACTAACAAAGGGCCAGGAGATTGACTTGGAAAAGGGAATTGTAACAAAGACTAACAAAAAGGGACACCCAACGGATCTCTGCCGTATAATAGGCCGACTGGAGATTCGGGCGGTTAAATGTAGACAACGATATCCATGGAAAACGGTATTCGTTTCTTCATATTTTTTTTACTCTTGTATTTTTTTGTAAACGCTACTATGTTAAAACACAAAATCAGAAAGATTGTTAGAAAAAAAACTGGAAAAACAGTAAAGTATAAAAGATATTCCGAGTCCACAATTTGCTTGTGCGTCCTTAAGGAATTTTAACCCCCTCACACGTTGCCAAGGTAATGGATTAAATCCTCCCAGGATGAAACGGAATAAACCTTCCTGCAACAGTGGCAATACAAACTGCAGGATGCCAACGAACTCAAAGAACGGAGCAAAATCACACTTACGAATTTAGAAGAGATTCTGCGAAATAGAATGCAGGATTTTCAGAAGAAAGGAAGTTTTGTAATTTTTCAGTGTGTCGAAAATGCAGCCATGCCTCAGAATTTATAGGCAATTATCGGAAGAGGTGTGATGTCTGTTCAGGAAAAGTGTCTGTTCAGGAAAAGTGTCTGTTCAGAAGGGAAAAATTAACGTTCAGCCTTTTTGGATTTCAGATTTCAGTTAATTTCGTTAATTAACTGACTGGCTTTTAATTAATTATTAAATAATTAATTAAATAAATTTTGTCCAAAAAATATCTTATCGATCATTTGACAAATCCAAATCCAAAGCCGAAGCCGAACCCGAGCCGAGCGAGCGAGCGAGCGACGGCGCGAGGGTTCATTCTCTTCAACTCCTTTTAAGAGCTCTAAGAAGTGATCCTATATATATACACACAAATGTAGTTGTCCCTCACCAATGAGGGACAAAGTTCAAGACAAAAGCTCACTTCATTCAAATTTTCATTTCCCTCCATTTTATTTCCCACCATTTCTAATTCATACTCTTAGACTTTTAAAGCCAATGCTTAAAGTCTTTAAAGCCCAATGCTTAAAGTCCAACAATCCCCCACATGAATGGGAATGGTTGTAACAAGAATGATCATAGATGAAAGCTGTGTGATTTGCAAGTAAGGATTAATTGCATCTGGATAAGTAGGTTTTCCTTTGAACTTTTCGTAGTGAACATATGTCGGATATACTCGGTCAATCGGTAGATTTGATATCTTTGAACCGTCGAACTTTAGTGTATACCTAGACAACCATATGTCACACAACCAACCCTTAACCGTCTTTTGGTTCTCATTGTTGTGTTCGTTTCAGCCATGAACACCGCCTGGTTTCATAAGTGCGTAGAGAATTGGCCTTACAGAATTCTCATTGAAGCGGCTTCCACTTCACACTTACATAGGTGATTCCTAAACGTGTAATCCTTTAGATTGACACTATTTGATAAATACCACATCAAACTTAGGTAATCATTAAAGAACATGTAAAGTTCTATCCTTGTTACTGAACATTGTCTTCATCACGAGAATGGACCAAAGATTTTACTTTGACAATGTTGAACCGGTCAATCACAACTTTGTTTGAGCTCCTTGAACCTAGATCTCGGAATATCCAAAATTCTAGATAGAGTTACCGCCATGTTGACTTGTCCTCGGCCATAGTCCTATTCCCTTAGATGATTTCTCAACTCCCTCTCTAGTTAAGCCTTTTGTAAGCGGATCCGCCATATTATCCTTTGATCTTACATAATCAACAGTGATATCCACTAGAAAGTAGTTGTCTAACGGTGTTATGTCTTCGTCATATATGATGAGACTTTTCGTTATACATAACGCTCCCTGCCCGTCCTATTGCAGCCTCACTATCGCAATGTATGCAAATAGGAGCCAAAGGTTTTGGCCAGAACGGAATGTCTTCTAAGAAATTTCGAAGCCATTCAGCTTCTTCACCGGCTTTATCCAAAGCTATAAACTCTGATTCCATTATAGAGCGAGCAATGCACGTCTGTTTGGAAGACTTCCAAGATACTGCTCCTCCACCAACAGTAAAAACATATCCACTTGTGGACTTTGTTTCTGTTGAGCCGGTTATCCAATTTGCATCACTATATCCTTCGATAACCGCATGATATTTATTGTAGTGCAAAGCGTAGTCTTGGGTATATTCCAAATATCCCAGAACTCGTTTCATTGCCACCCAGTGATGTTTGTTGGGATTACATGTGAATCAACTAAGTTTACTTATTGCACAAGCTATATCAGGTCGTGTACAGTTCATGATGTACATTAAGCTTCCCAACACACGAGCATACTCCAATTCAGACGTGCTTTCACCTTTATTCTTTATAAGATGATGGTTTAAGTCAATTGGAGTTCTTGCACTTCTAATTTCCAAGTGTTTGAATTTTTCAAGTACCATTTTCACATAATGTGATTGAGACAAAGCTAGACCCTGAGGAGTCCTCTGGATTTTAATTCCTAGAATTACATCGGCAACTCCTAAGTCTTTCATATCAAACTTACTAGCAAGCATACACTTAGTAGCTTGAATGTCGGCAATGTCTTTGCTCATTATTAGCATATCATCAACATATAAGCAAACAATGACTATATGATTTGGAACGTTCTTAATGTAAACACATTTATCACATTCATTAATCTTAAAGCCATTTGACAATATGGTTGGGTCAAATTTCGCATGCCATTGCTTGGGTGCTTGTTTTAGTCCATAAAGGGACTTAACAAGTCGACACACCTTCTTTTCTTTTTCTGGAACCACAAACCCTTCAGGTTGGTTCATGTAAATTTCTTCCTCTAGATCACCATTTAAGAAGGCTGTTTTTACATCCATTTGATGGATTTGAAGACCATATAAGGCGGCTAACGCTATTAGCATCCGAATGGATGTAATTCTTATTACCGGCGAGTATGTGTAAAAATAGTCAAGACCTTCTCGTTGTCTAAATCCTTTGACAACAAGTCTTGCCTTGTATTTGTCAATAGTACCATCGTCTTTCATTTTCTTCTTGAAAATCCATTTAGAACCCAATGTTTTTTTACCTGGAGGAAGATAAACCAATTCCCAGGTATGGTTGCTCAATATGGATTCTATTTCACTATTGACAGCTTCTTTCCAATATTGTGCTTCTGAGGAAGACATTGCTTCCTTGAAGGTACGAGGCTCATTTTCTAGCAGGAAAGTCAGAAAATCTGGACCGAATGAAGTAGATGTCCGTTGACGTTTACTTCTTCTCGGATTTTCCTCATTAGGCATACCATCTGTTATTTCCTCCTGAGGTCGTTTTGACTTTTGGTAGTCACTTTACTTTCCTTTTTTACGGATAAATAGTTTCAAAGAATTCAGCATTATCTGATTCTATTTTCGTGTTAACGTGAATCTCAGGATTTTCTGATTTATGAACCAGAAAACGATATGCCTTGCTATTGGTTACATATCCAATAAATACATAATCAACCGTTTTTGGACCTATCTTAACCTTTTTAGGTTTAGGAACTTGTACCTTAGCTAAACACCCCCACACTTTGAAGTATTTCAAGCTGGGCTTCCTTCCTTTCCATTTTTCATAAGGAATGGACTGTGTTTTACTATGAGGTACACGGTTGATTATTCGGTTAGCTGTAAGTATAGCTTCCCCCCACAAGTTCTGTGGTAAACCAGAACTTATCAACAACGCATTCATCATCTCTTTCAACCTTTGATTCTTTCTCTCCGCAATTCCATTAGATTGTGGAGAGTAAGGGGCAGTTGTTTGGTGAATAATGCCATTTTTCAAACATATTTCTTCAAAAGGAGATTCATATTTGTCATCCCTATCACTTCTTATCATTTTGATATTTTTGTTTAGTTGTGTTTCAACTTCACTCTTGTATTGCTTGAAAGCATCAATTGCCTCATCTTTACTATTAAGTAAATAAACATAGCAATATCTCGTGCTATCGTCAATAAAAGTAATAAAATACTTTTTCCCACCGTGAGATGGTGTTGACTTCATGTCGCAAATATCTGTGTGAATTAAGTCTAAAGGACTTGAATTCCTTTCAACGGACTTATAAGGATGCTTAGCATACTTTGATTCCACACATATTTGACATTTGGAATTGCACAAATTTTGGCAATACTTCTAAATTTATCATTTTTCGCAATGTTTTGAAGTTGACGTGACCTAAGCGTGAATGCCATAAAGTGTTTGACTCAAGTAAGTAAGAAGAAGCATTAACTTTATTGATAGGAACTGCTATTACATTTAGCTTAAAAAGGCCCTCATTCAGGTAACCTTTTCCTACATATACATCATTCTTACTTAGTACAACACTATTAGAAACAAAAATACATTTGAAT